TGCATGGAGGGGATTGGAACCATGGCAATGAAACGATGTACGGTGGAATAAATGTAAAACTAAAGTTTTCCCATGTAAAGTATCAATAGAATTCACAATAAAACATGAAAAAAAAAAAAATCTGCATTGTATATATATATATAGATAATGGGCCTCAACCCAAGATGTATTTGAGTTATGATTAACTGCACTTATGACTGTTCTTTTTGTTTTGTTTGTTTTTACATCCTACCGATGGTAGCATGTACTACATACAGTGTTGCAATGGGTGATTTGCTGATGCCATCATTCTCAGACCTTCACGTGCAGATGTTCAATGTTATGATTTACTGAGAAAATACTGCTGTGGAGCAAGTGATGGCCTGGTCTACAAAGAAGCTGGTGTCAGTGCTGGGAGTTGTAACAGAGAAAATTGCATTATAATGACATAGGACATATAACAACTGTAATGACATATGACAACTGAACTGCACATGAAGCCACCAGCTGTCCAACTCCACCGTCACTGTTGACCTGGATTCCAACTTCACCATAGACTAGGTCTACAGTGTGGGCTTGTACAGCATTCCATACCATCAGAAGCAACAGCTGTTCATTTGAAGCTCAGTTGTTCCAACCCCCCAAGACAAATAAAGATCGGATTTATAAAGATACTACTAATAAAAGGCAATTATAATAAAAACTTAAGGAAAAAAATAGGTATTTAACTTTTTTGTTAGAACCAACATATGACTGAGTTGTTGGAATGGAACCCTGATGTAAATTGGAAGCTGTCTGTATACACAGTTTTATAATTTTAACAAAAGATCATGTGTCGAGTCTCACCAACAAATTGGTCCAATCCTCAAAAAGTCAACTGAAAACTGACCTAGTAATCCTACCAGGGTGCTCCTAAAATCATAATCCAAAATATGGAAAATCTTTGTTCATGAGTAACTTGGATAGCATTGTTATTGGTAAGTGCCACTGAGTCCATTACAGCTCATAACGACCCATATAACCAGAAAAGAATGTGAACGACACTTCCAACTCAAGGGTATGTGTGTAAACACATCTACAAGAGGACATGACCCAGGCAGGGAGGTTAGAAAAGGAGGATGAGTCGTCAATAGGAAGGCCACAGAGCGATAGGAACAAGGGGAAGATTGAAAGACAGTCTCGACAGGAGGGAGAAGCATACCAAGGGAACTGAGCTGGAGAAGAGGAAAGCCAGACACAAGCGGTCCTTTGTATACAATCAAGTCAAGTCTGGGAAAGTCCGCTACCTCTGTCTGCCCAAACAAGCTGAAGTTTTCTTCAGAAGACTCATTGGTGGATGTGAAATTCTCCTCCAAGTCTGAGTGACGCCATAGCGGCAGCTGATGGTCACCACTTGACAATCCATTTTCTTGTAGCTCAGCAGATGATTCAAATTCACGGGCATTTGTGACTATACTGGTGACGTAGTTCACCAATCTGTTTTCTTGATTCTCAAAGCCAGCTCCTCCAAATGCGTTGTCTTTGCCGGAAGTAAGCTCAGCAAAGACGATGGATGAGCTGCTACTGTCATCATGTCTAATCCCGTACTCATCTCTGGAGAAAAAAGAAAACAAAGCAGAAAAGCAGCGTAAAAAGACGGCGGCACAACATCACTTCTGAAGTATTCTTTCCCCAAACGGCAGAACCTCACCTCAATCTAATCACGTGAAAGCCTCAGGTAAACCTAAATTAAGAGAAGCTCTACAAAGTCACTAACTGGTGCTCAACAAAAGACTCAAGCTCATGGAAGACAGAGCAGACTGAGGAGGAAACAGATCAGAAGAGAATAAAGAGACTCAACAAGAAAATACCAGGAGGGACCCTAGAAAAAGAACATTAGATAGAATATCGGTAGAATTTGGAGAGCCTCAGAAATCATATACCTATGGGAATTTAGCTCTTGGGTGGTGCAAACTGTTAAGCAGTCAGCTGCTAACCAAAAGGTTGGACATTTGAATCTACCCAGAAGCCCCTCAGAAGAAAGGTCTGGTGAGCTGCTTCTGAGAAATCAGCCACTGAAACTGAAATACCTACGGAGCACAGTTCTACTGTGACACATATAGGGCTGCCATGGGTGGGAATTGACTTGGTCTGGTACGTGAATTCACCTATGCTAACTGGCACTCTTACTATGGTTCTGTCCACTAACATTAGGAAAAGCTGGGTGAGGGATCTATCTGAATGCTTGGTACTAGTTTTGCCACTTTAAGTCTACAATGATTTCAAGTGAAAACCTTTAGAAAGAAAGAAAGGGCAACAGTAATTCAACTGTTCTTTCTTCGTGGCCTGAATGGAATTTTATTGATAGGCTCCTGAGAAGACTTTGTTTATCAACTCTGTCTAGTAGCAAAATTTATTGAATATACAAAAAAACAATGCAAAATGCTTTAAGGATCTAAATGTGAAAACAAAACCCAGAAGATTCTGAAAAGAAAATACAGGGGACACTGGTTTTTGATCCTAGCTTCTAACAATGGATTCTCTGATACAGTAAACAGAAGTATGAACAGAGAAACAGAAAATAAATAAATCAGTCCTCATAAAATACTGCCAAGAAATATCTGAGAGGAGGAAGAAATCTAACACTCTGAAATAAAATAAGCTCCTAGTAGCAGAAGACAAAGGAAACTCACAGCAAGTGACAGTGGTTAATGTCTTACATATACAAGGGGCTTGGAAAAATCAGTGAAAAAATGGAACTGAAAGATAATGGAATTGTTCCAGGAACTCTTTGAAGGCCCCTTGTAAAAGCACTTTGGACATATTATCAGGAGGGACCAGTTTATGAAGAACATCATGCTTGGTAAAGTGGAGGGACAGCGAAAAAGAGGAAGATACCCCCCCAACAAGATGAGACTGGCACAGTGACAGCAGCATTGGGCTTAAGTGTAACAACAATTGTGAGGATGGCACAGGACCAAGCAGTGTTTCATTCTGTTGTGCATAAGGTAGAACCAAGATGATGGCACCTAATAACAACAATAACATAAAGTACACACACCAGTCCACATACCTTTCGGAGAGAGCTTCCAGAGAGGGCAAATGAATAGCAACCCTGTCTGTGGAACAAAAACCAACCAGAAAGATTTTCAAGCAGCTCAATTTTCCAATCCAGAGCTAAAATATACACAGATAATACCAAAATGCTACGACCCTTTGGCAAAGTACAATACAAACAGCAACAGACTTGTTTTTGGAATTATAAATATGGAACGGTTCAGCGATACCAAAACCAGAACTCCAAAATTCCTGGTCATGGAGGAGGTTCTGTCTCAAAGTGACCCAATAAGGACAGAGTAGAACTGCCCCCTGGGGTGCCCAAGGCTTGAAATCCTGGAAGCGGACTGTCACATCTTTTTCTCCTTCATCTATCTATAGCAGGGGTCTGTAGACATTTTCAGTAAAGGGCCCAACAGCAAGTACTTTTGACTTCGTGGACCCTGTGAGACTCTGATGCAGCAAGTTATTCTGCCAATGAAATGCAAAAGGCAGCCAGAGGCGTAATTCTGAATTGTGTTCCAAAATACTTCATTTATTGACAATGAAATTTGAATTCTTTATCATTTCCACCAAATACTATTCTTCTCTTGATTTTTACTTTATATTTCTTAAGATTTAAAAATGCAAAAACCATCCTCATCTTGTAGGACATACAAAAACAGGTGCAGGCTGGATTTGGCTGTCGGACCATAGCTGGCTAACCCCCTGAACTGTATCATCAAAAACTGCTCACCTTGGGGCTGGGCCACATGCACGTGCTCTATCCAAGCAGTGTGGTAGCCTACAATGTTAGGGTGCTGCAGACCTGCCAGTACCTTGACTTCCCGTAGTACCTGAAAGGGAAACATACTTACAGCTGGCTTTTACTGACAACTTGCTAAATGTTCATGGCTATTGTTAGCTGCTGTCCAGTCGGTTGAACTCAGGGCAGCCTCCTGTGTGCAGAGTAGAACTGCATTTTCAAGGGTTTTCAGAAAGATCACCATGCCTGTCTTACCAGGAGCCTCTGCGTAGGTTTAAACCACCAACCTTTCAGTTGGTAGTCAAATGCATAGACAGACACTTATGCCACCCGAGGAACTTCGAATGTTCACAGTACCAAATGCTATTTGTTTCAGAGCAAAAAAATCATAAAAACTCCTCTTTATATGGAATGTCAAATAATCAGAATGTTTTGCAAATGGCAAAGACGATAGCAAGGAAATAACTTACATTTCTATCGAGCATTGTATGCTTTCCACAGCTAGCTTATATGAATTCTGTCATTTGATTTCCACACCCATCCTCTGAGGTTCAGTGAAACCACTGAAAATGGTCACAGCAACTCCGAGGGCAGGAAACAGAAGCAGCTCAGGAGATAAAGTAATGTGCTACACAACACACAGACCTACCTTTGGGCTTGTGTTTTTGTGTAACAAGTTATACTGTATAGCAATGAAGGCTGACCTCGGAGATGCTGTGGCTTCAGTTTCAGGACCTCGCAATGAAGTGAGTCGCCTGCATCTTTGTACTTTCCCAGTGCATCTAAAAGTGATGTTGACACTAAGACTGTCTTCTATGAAGCGTGCCAAAGCATGATGAGAAAGTATGAAAATGTTGGGAGAATGACCAACATGGAACACAGAGACATGAAGTGAGCACACACTGTTGGAAAAATGGGGCCCAAAGATTTGCCTGACAAAGTTACCACAATCTTCAATTTGTAAAAACACAATATCTGCAAAGTGCACTTCAGCAATAAAATGGTGTCATTTACTTAAAACTTCACTTCCCAGCAAAGACCCTGAAATGTGGTCAGTCTTTAAGTGCTCACCGGGAGGGAAAAATGGCCCATAAAAGTTTAGTTTTGATGTGTATGGTCTTTTAATATAGCATGATTCTTAGTGAACTAGCAATCCATACCAAACTTACACACAGAACTCCTTTTAAAGGCCCTAAAAGTAGTGAGGTTGGCCCAGGATCAGGCAGTGTTTCATTCTGCTGTACGTAAGGTCGCTATGGGTCGGTACCAACTAGATGGTACCTAACAACAATAACAACAAATATTCAACAAGTCAAAGAAAGAATTTTTCAAGATCATACCTTCATGCAATCTGTTTTAGTTGCATCCTTAATCAGGATTTTTTTAATTGCATAATATTGGCCATCTAATTTATTTCTGACCTAAAAAGTTGAGGAAAAAGTAAAAGAATATTCCGTCATTAAATTGCAAGTAAATGAAGAAAGTCCTTCTAACCTGAGCTGCTCCCTAAACCCACTACCCACTGACATCAAATTGATTCCCGACTTAAAGCAAGTGACTCTACAGAACAGAGCAGAACTGTTCCTTCAGATTTCCAAAACTGTAAATGTTCACTAGAGCACTTAGCTGTTGAGCGGCTGGTGGGCTTGAACCACCAAACCTTAACCCACGGTACCATCAGGATTCCTTAATGTTGAGTTCAGATCATCCAAGCTACCCAATGAGAGAAACATGAGATAAAAACGTGTCCTGCTAACTATGTGCCAGGAAGTCATCTCTCCTTAGCTCCATGGAGAGCTTTTCACAACTATGCTGGGAGCCCAACTCCCAGAAGGTCTTGGTGTGGATACTCAGGCTCTTAGCAAAAGTCCCAAACACTAGAGCCACAACTTTCTGCAGTAACACATTTTGAAGAAAAATAAAGTATTAACCAAACAAAAAGTCAAAGTTTCCAGGATCCATTCAAACAACCAGCACCGTTTAAAAACAAAACAACAAAACAGGCCTAAATCTGTGGCATTGAGCAGCTAACTGCAAGGCTGGTAGTTCACACTCCCCGGCTGCCTCAAGAGAAAGAGGAGGTTGTCTGCAACCATAAAGCTTTAGTCTTGAAAACCCTATCTACGGTAGTCCTGGCTATGAGTTAGAATGGAATTGATGGCAATGTTTTGGGTTGGGTTTTCTTTGTTGTTGAAGGGGGGAGGGACCCAACACCTACTGCCATCAACTGTAACTCATAGTGACTTTAAAGAACAGAGTAGATCTGCTCTGTGGGATTTCCGATTCTGTACCATCAGAGCTCCTTAAAACTGGTCTGTTGTTATTAAGTGATGTTGAGTCGGATCCAACTCATAGCAAGCCTGTATAGGGTCTATGAGGAGTGGCTGGTGGGTTTGAACCCCTAGTGCTGGGATTAGCAGTCCAGGATTTTCTTACAGCATCACACCAGGATCCCATACTTGGACCCCATACTTTCCTGTAAATGACAAACCTTAATGTAAAAGTAAATATGCTTGATTTCTAGTCCATTTCCTTTGAGTACGTTCCATAATAATGATAAAAAATAACTTCTCAAAACACATTTATTTACAAAGTAATAGATCAGACCAAGTGTGTGGAGAACAACCTTGTACACTCTTCCATAGCCTCCTTTTCCTAAGATGGCAATCTCCTCAAATTCATTCAAGTAGCGTGAAGTTTGTGTTTCAAAGGCTACTTCCCTTGATCTAGAAGTTAAACACAAGCATTTAACAAATCAGTATTAAGACATGAGAGAATCAATGATTTCTAAGATTGTTCATGTTCCCTGAATGAAGAGCCTTTCAAACCTCACTCATTTGGATTCTATGGTTTCAGTCATTGAGGAAGAAAGGGCTAAAAAGAACTTTTTTAATCTTCTAGAAGAAAATGTCTGCTAAACAAATCTATATGGTGGTGGTGGTTACGTGCTGTGGAGTCAGTTCTGACTCATACCGACCCTGTACATGGTTTCCGAAGCTATAAATCTTTACGGGAGCAGAAAGCCTCATCTTTCTCCTGCAGAACAGCTGGTAGTTTCAAACTGCTGACAAATCTACGTATGGTGTAATAATGAAAGCAAAAAGATTACTAAGCTCATTTCAAACATTTTACCAGGAATTCATATTCTAATTAAAAGTTAGCATCAATTTTTAATAGGAGTCCTAAAGGTAGCTAATAGGTAGTAGTTGATTAGCAGAGTTTGGCAATAAATTGACTTAGATTTCTTACTGATCTGGACCCATTGCAGATTTTTAACTAAATATAGCTGAAGTTCAATGTTGTAGTCCTTACATAGATTGACCATTGTTCCATGTCAGAGGAGGCTTAGGAAATTTACCCTGAGTGAGGGCTTGTTGTTGTTGTTGTTAAGTGCCATCGAGTCGGTTCCGACCCATAGCGACCCTATACAGGGTTTCCGAGGGTGTAAATCTTTATGGGAGTGAGGGCTAGGGGTTTCAAAGTTCAAAATGAGAAGAAAAGTCAATCTCAGAGCAATAATTAATTGCTGAGAACAGTTTTTTTTTTTTTAATTTCATAAGCTTCACTAAATGCCTATTTTTTGTTTTCAAAACCTAAAACTAGTATTTTCTTAATCCTGATTTCTTTGGGATAAATTTACCTTTAGGATAATCAAAACAAGTTTTTAACACATACCTGATTTTCTGGGTATGAGAACTCTCCTCACAAGGATCCTAAAACAAAACAAAAAGTTTAAAACGCACTTTGAAAATTTTCATGAAAATAAGGAAACCTCTCAAAATTCAATGTCACATTAATGGCCACAAAAGCTCTAACAATATTAAAGACAAAACAAAACAATCCAATGGCTTTTTCTGTATTATTTAGAATTTACAACTGAGAAATTTTTTTTCTTAGCCAAAAGATGGCTAGTAAAGCGTTCAGTAAAGCAGTCTTGCCATATAATGACAGAGCTGAGGGGCTGACAAAGACCTCCATTAGCAAATACATTCGTTTTATCTTCAGAATACATCAAAGGAACTATTCACCCTCATTTCCTCAACACACTTTCCAGAGCCCCATCATCTCTTGCCTATACACCCGTAACTGGTCTCCTTGCTTCTGCCCTGGCCCCTTCATCTTTTCTCAACACAGTAGCTAGAGTGACTGCAATGCTTCCCATCAGACAATGAGTAGTAAAAACCAAAGACATTACAACGGCCTCAAGTTCCTATTCCCGATGATCCCCTCTACCCTTATAGCCATTTACTCCACCACAGGCTGCCCTGCAGTTTCTTCCACTGGCACCCCGGGGCCCCTGCAGTAGTGCTCCTCGGCCTGGGCTGTCTCTCTTCCAGCTCTCTACATGGCTCCTTCTCTCAGTCTCAGATTTTAACTGAAATCACACAGTCTCAGCGAGGCCCTCGATGGCCACTCTTTTACAGAAACCATACAAAATTCCCTTCCCAATGTTTTCTTTGTGCTGTTTCTTGGCACTATTAACATTCAACACGCCACACGGTGTCCTATGTTGTCATGGATTTCTACTGTTTACTGCCTCCTCATTAAAACACAAGCTCCACAAGGGTGGGGATTTGTGTCTGGTTTGCTCAGTTTGAACCCTAGACCTCCAAGAGGGCCAAGCACATTGTTGTTGTTGCCACGAAGCTGATTTCAAATCCTGGCGACCCTGGGTGTTACAGTGTAGACTGCTCCAACAGCTTTTCTTGGCTGTTATGGTGCAGATCACGATCACCACGTCTTTTCTTCCGTGGTAACATGTTGCCATTGTTGTTAAGTGCCATCAAGTCAGTTCCGACCCATAACGACCCTGTACAGGGTTTCTGAGGAGCAGCTGGTTGAATCCACCAACTTTTAGAGTCATTCCACAAATATAGTTTTAAAAATTAAAATAGATATTCTTTAAAATTTGCTTCATAATTGGAATTGCATAATGCTTTAAAACACTGTTCTCTTGAAACTAAATGTATTTTTGCAATGCACAAAATTTATGCTTCTTCCTGGCTTACCTGCCAAACTCTCTCTTTAGCGGACCGCATTAACTGAGTAATAGCTCTGTTGTGATGCAGCCTCAGGGAGCTGAACTCATCGCTACAGGTGAAGGAAGACAACAGCCCCATCTTGATGAAGGTCTGACAGAGTACTAGGGCACAAAATAGGGACGACTCTGTTAGAACAGCAAAATGGTCAGCAGAGAGAACACAGAATGACGAGGAATAACAGCGACATACACAGCAAAGTCTCTAAGAAACCAATGATGTTTACACACATGGCACCACTCAGAGCCAAGAAACAGTACTTTTACTCTGTCACATCAGGCAGCTCTGAGTAAGAATCGCCTGGATGGCACACAACACAACGTTGTTGTTGTTGTTGTTGTTGTTAAGTGTTGTCGAGTTGGTTCTGACTCATAGCAATCTTGTATAGGGTTTCCAAGGAGCGGCTGGTGGGTCTGAGGCTTCAACCTTATGGTTAGCAGTCCAGTGCTGATCTAACAGCACCATACCTGGACTCCCAACAACAATGTCTGTGTGTCTAACTAACTCCCTTCCTTCCTCTCCTACCTAACTTATTCACTTACAAATGACAACCATTAGTACATTCACTGATACGAAGCACATGTATCACACCTTATTTATAGATGTGGGAACAAACCATTAGAAATGACTACAAAAGTAAATGGTAATTATATCCATATATCTTTTCCATTTTATAACGTCTAGGAGTCCTGGCGTAGTGCTACGGGTTAATGCGCTGGAGTGCAAGGTCAGTGTGAACCACAAGTTCAGTAGTTCAAGCTCACCAACCACTCTTTGGAAACTCTATACGGGGTTGCTATGAGTCGGAACTGACTCAACGGCCCTTAACAACAACAACAACAATGAAACAATATAAGAAGGATCCCTGGTGGCACAGTGGTTAAGTGCTCAGCTGCTAACCAAACGGTTGGCAGTTTGAATCCACCAGTACTCTATTGGAGAAGTGGAGAAAAGACCTAACAATCCGTTTCCACACAGACTGACAGCCTTGGAAACCCTATGGGGACACTTCTAGTCTGTCCTATTGGGCTGCTGTGAGCTGGAATCGACTCGATGGCAAGAGCATGCAGGCAACACACAGAGAGGGTATGTGTGTAGACAGACAGACTTGTTCGATTGCACTTTGCTTTATTCTGCCTCCCAGACAAGCATTTTGGTTTTGTAGAAACTGAAGGTTGTGTCAACCTTGTGTAAAGCAAATCTACAGGTGAGCACATGCTCACTTCATGTCCCTGTGTCACACTGTGCTCATTCTCACCATATTTCAAACTTTCCCAGAATGCAACTGCATACTTGCAATTGACTACAGTATGGTATCAACATAGCTTCTACAGGCACTGGGACACCAAAACATTTGTGTGACCTGCTTTAAGGCAGTGGTCTGGAATCAAACTGTCTGTACTTCCAAGGCAGGCCTGTCCAGACCAAACACTAGGGGAAGCATCAACTCTGAGGTGACAACACAGACTCCTCAGAGAAGTTTCTAGAGAGCTGTCTTGACTTTCATCCATTCAAGCAACACAGATCCCACAAAGGTTATTCTTCCCAGAGCAAAATCAACTACCTAAATGAGGAGGATCTAAAACACTGATTCATACTTATTTCACAGCAAACTTTCAGATATTAGAGGCTTCTTAGGCCACAGCACTAAGAAGCACAGTAGTTCTAGAAGCTTTCTTTAGCAAGCCTGCGTTATTCTTACTAACATTTAAACACCTGTCTTGAGCGAACTGGGTTTGGCTCATGCACATGGCTCAAGTGTTCCAGGAGAGAGACCAGCAACAGTTGGTTTGCAACTGCAAACGGGAATGTTGGCTGTTGGAGGGATCCTTTTAATACTTGGAGTTCTGCTGGCACGTCCGACTCTGAAATTTGTAAAAAGAAAATAAATTAAATTTGTTGCAAGCATCATGTATAAAGGACAAAGCAGCGTACTTGCTTTCATTCCTAAACATACGATTTCAATGGCAGGAAATACAAAAATGATAACAACAACAACAACAAAACCCAACATGCTGAATAGGTTCTATTCTGGAAAGCCTCTGGAAGTGAATTTTGAGTTGAATTCTGGAAGCTGAAGCCATCATGGGGGGAATTGAGACCACGCTATGGTGGCAATGCCATTTACAATGTTAGAAATAGATGAACCAAATCAACATTCAATAGGAAAAAGCAAGCAAGAGGGAATAAGATGGTTCCCCCCTTCCTTTGAGAAGGCAGCCCAAGATCTGGCATAAAGAAAGACTTAAGCAGAGGCAAGATGGGAAGGCAGGCAGGATGGAAACTTTACTCTGAGCAAGTCTTTTATAGGCACTATAGCATTTAATCCTCATAAAACAAAGTAAATGTTATCATCCCCATTTCACAGATGAGAACAATGATGGTCAGCAAGCCTACTAAACTCACTGCCATAAAGGTAATTCTGATTCAGAGCAAATCTACAGAACAGAGTAGACCTACTCCAGAGGCTATCATCCTTATGGAAGCTGGCTGGCTCATCTTTCTCCTGCAACATAGCTGCTTGGTTTGAACCAAGCATTTCAATTAGCAGTTGAGCATGTTAACCACTGAGACACCCAGACTCCTTAGTAAGATTATGGAACTAGTGAATCAAGCAGATCATAAGGACTTTCAAGCCCCATCTCTTTCCACCATAAAGACTACGTCAGAAGAGGTAGGCTTCAGAAACCAAGCAGACAGATGAGTTGGCAGAAAGTCATCCTAGGTTTCACTTGTCTTTAATACTCCACTGACTAGGCCCACAACCCCATGAAGGAAAACTGTTTGTGGAAAACTGTGCAAGCAATAACACATAACAGGAAGTCTGGACCGAGGTACACAGTTCCCAAGGAGAGGTTAGGATGAGTCTAGTAAAGGAGGTCAGTTATAGAACTGTAGAGGAAAGACTACATGCCAGAGATAGCAAGAAAGAAAAGAAATAGCTGAGAAAACTAAACATAGACCCACTGCCATCCCGTGAGTGGATGAGAATTAAAGAAGAATCAACGACAAGATTGAAAACATGAGGAATAAGAGGATGGAGGTGCCAAAGAGTACAAAAACTGGAGAGGGAACTGTTAAAGGGAACAAACCTGTATAAGGTTTCCAAGAAGTAGCTGGTAAGTCTGAACCACCAACCTTGTGGTTCAAAATGACTTTACTATGAAAAGGTCAGATTCAAGATTTTCTGACCCAAACTATATACTTTCACTGACTTCCTGTCTGACTTACAAGTGGCCCTCCCAGTTGCTGTTGAGTCAGCTCTGACACATAGTGACTCTGTACAATAGGGTAGAGCTACCCCATTCAGTCTCCAATCATGGAAGGTGGCTGCCACGGAGCAGCCTGTAGGTTCCAACCTCCGACCTTTTAGTTAGCAGATAAAGGCTTCACCACCATGTTACCAGGACTTCATTTTACAGGTGTCCCTTGGTTGGTCAAGTCTGTTCCAACTTAGAGCAATCCTGTATAGGGTTTCCAAGGCTATAAATCTTTACAGAAGCAGAAATCCTCATCTTTCTCCTGTGAAGCAGCTAGTAGATTAGAACTGCTGACCTTTTGGTTAGCAGCCCAAGTCACAACACATTATGCTACAAGGGCTCCTGCTTTATAAAGATGTATTGTTCATTTCAAATGAGTATCACTGCACAGGAAAGACCTATAGGCATAGTATCAAAAAAGAGAAAAATCTGCTGATGTAAAAACTTCTTTATGTAAAGACAGCTTAAGCAAAGTTATTAATCACAAAGTGAGGGAAATATTTGTATTATACATGATAAAAGGAGTCCTAGTGGCACAGTCGCTATGGGTCAAAACCGACTCAACGGCAATTAACAACAACAACAAAGTGGCACAGTGGTTAAGTGTTAGCTGGTAACCAAAAGGTTAGTGATTTGAACCTGCCCAATGGTTATTCAAGAGAAAAACCTGGCTATCTGATTTCCTAAAGGTAACAACCAAGAAAAACCCCCAGGGCAGTTCTACCCTGTCACATGGAGTTAGCTATGAGTTGAAATCAGCACCTAACAACATTAGAAATGATGGCATATAAAAATATCATTGTAGGCAGTCTATTAGCAAGACAAAGAAGCAAGCTGTAAAACAGTAATACTAATGTCACTAGGTGCAGCATAAACCAGAATAACCTTCCTGGTCATCAATTTAGCAAAGTGTATCCAAAAATCTTTAGCAAAAAAAAAAAAAATGATTTGACCCAACAATCTATTCTAAAGGAATTATGACAAACACTGACAAAGATTTATACGAGAGATGTCTCACCCATTATTATTTATAATGGTGAAAAAATGACTTCAACCTAATTTCAAACAGACTAAATACAGGATAAGAGTATTGCCTTCGGCAAGATGGTGGACAAGGCAGACACAGTACACGGATCTGCTACAACAGGGGTGGAGAACGTCTGCCCTGTTGTTGTTGTTATGTGCCATCGAGTCGGTTCTGACCCATAGCGACCCTGTATAGGGTTTCCGAGGGTGTAAATCTTTACGGGAGTAGAAAGCCTCATCTTTCTCCCGCGGTGCAACTGGTAGTTTCGAACCGCTGACCTTAAGGTTCGCAGCCCGATTCATAACCACTACGCTACCAGAGCTCCTTGAACGTCTGCCCTACTAGCAGCGAAATCATTTGGTCTGGTCCTGCCAAGGCAACCACAGTTTCAGCTATCACATTGTTACTGTTGTAGTTAAGTGTTGCTGAGCCGGTTCTGACTCAGAGCGCCCCTGTATAGGGTTTTCCAAAGAACAGCTGGTGAGTTTGAACTGCCGACCTTGTGGTTCAAACCCACTTTACGGTTCAGTGCCACACCTGGACCAGGTGTAGCAGGTTAGCTTTTAAGCTAATAATTTTGTATGGCCCAGGAATGATGTTATAAATTTTGGCAAAAAAAAAGTTCCCCACCCTCACTCTACAACAACAATGCAAGCAACCAAATTAAATCGACAGAGATGAAAATTCTGGCATCCTGAACTTCAGAAGAGAGGTTACAGAGGTGGATGGAGTGCTTGCAGGGAGGAGAGGCCGATCAGGGATGGCAAGAGAGAGGGAGACTGGCTGGTGAACATCTAGACAGACACAGCTTGAACAAGAGCAAACAGGCAAAATGAATAAAAATTTAAACCAATACAAAGCCTGCAATTAGAAACCCCAGATTAATACTAAGATCTCAGAAACAGACAATACATAGAAAGGGCAAAGGAGTAGATGCAAAGCAACGGAAGCCCGAATTAGTGAGCTTAAAGATAAATCTCTCAATATTAGTATGCTAGAAAAACGATCAGAAAAAAATGCAAGGAAACATCCAAAGAAAGTCTAAGAATTACATGGGACACAACTTAAGGGTGACTGGAATTCCAGTACAGAAACAGACAAGCACATATAAAACTGTCAAAGACTTGTTGAAAGAAAATTTCCCTAACATCATGAAAGACAAGAAGATAAGCATATAAGCAGCTGAACGAACTCCAAATAGGATAGATCCCAAAAGAAAATCACCAAGACATATCATAATCAAATGTTCCAAAAAAGACTCTCCCTAGGAGCAGCTGGTGGGTTTGAACTACCGACTTTTCAGTTAGTAGCCCGACACAACCCTTATTAAAGTTATTTGTGTTGTTAAATGCCATTGAGTTGGTTCTGAATCATAGTAACCCTGTATAGGGTTTAAAAGGAGTGGCTAGTGGGTTTGAACCACCCACAGGCCTTGTGGTTAGCAGTCCAAAACTCATCCTATAGTGACACACCAGGACCCCAAGTAGTCTCTAGATAAACCAAAATATAAACAGTAATTTCTGGGTGATGGGATTTTGAATTTTTTCATTTCTTCTTCATGCTTTTCTACATTTCCCACATATTATGTACCATGAAGTTTCATTTTTGTTTGTTTTTTTTCAATGCTACACTGTTAGGAGTGGTGGGATTATGGGCAGGAGGGTTTCTGCTTCTTTATACTGTTAAGCACTTTCCTATTTTCTGCAACAATAGAATCCTAATTTTTAATACACAAACCAAAAGTGAATGATTAATCAGTGGACTCATGAAACTAGAAGGAAAACACCAACTGTAAGAAGATCAGTAAATTTGTAAATCATCAATCATCCAAGAAAACACAGTTTTACCCAATGGAAAAAGGCAGATACTCAACTCCAGTACAGTGTAAGACAGAAAGGAAATGAAAATTTCAACCAAAGCCTTCACCGTTCTGGTCAAAATTGGTTGAAAAGGAAGAAAAAGAGCTCAAGTTCCTCGATAAAGGCGGAAGAAGTGAGAAAGGGATCCCTAGGGACATGTGCGTAAGTGCCAGACTCTGTCTAGGTGGAAAGAAAAGGACAAAACCAAAAGTGGGTCACCTAATTCAATCTTCTCAAGAAAGTATGATCCGTGTGGCCCATTATGAAGTAACAGAAGAGATTGGATTATTAATCTGAGGTTAAAAAATCCTGTTTTGAAAAAGTGATGTCAGATAAAGGAAGAAAAGTCATGGGATTGATCAGATACTTTTGAAGACCTACAGCTGGTGCCTGATAATGGCTGGGTGGAAGTCCTGCTGGCCCTCCTTCTAAGGCATGCTGACCCACAGAAAGCAAGCACACAGTAGCACTGATGGTGACAGGCTCATGGTGACAGATAAATCCTGTTCAGGAAACAGATGACCAACACAGGTGTCAGAAGAGTGAGATCTTCTTTGGAATTTTCCAGTTCTACTTCTACCATTTAGGAGCCCTGGTAGTGTTGTTGTTGTTGTTGTTGTGAAGTGCCATCGAGTCGATTCCAACCCATAATGACCCTGTATAGGGTGTCTGAGGAGCAGCTGGTGAGCTTGCACCGCCAACCTTGCAGTTCAAATGGCTTTGCAGTCTGGCGCCTTAACCCACAGCGCCACACCAGGACTTCCCTAGTAGTGTTATTAAGTGCCGTTGAGTTGATTCCAACCCATAGCCGACCCATAGCGATCCTGTACGGAGGTTTCCAAGGCTATAAATCTTGACGGGAGTAGAAAGCCTCATCTTTCTCCTGTGAAGAGGCTGGTAGTTTCAAACTGTTGACCTTAAGGTTCGCAGCCCTATTCGTAACCACTACACTACCAGAGCCCCTGGTAGTGTAGTGGGTTACAACTTGGGCTGCTAACAGCAAGGCTGGCAGTTCGAATCTCCCAGCTGCTCCATGGGCAGAGATGAGGTTTTCTGCTCCTGTAAAGATTTAAAGTCTTGGAAACCCGGGTTGCTATGAGTCAGAACCAACTGAACAGCATACATCCATCACCACCACCACTTCCAGAATGAGTTAACTGACAGAATGAGTTCTTCACACATACAGAGAAATTACTCAATTTTTCTGGGTTTTGTGTCCACTAAAAATTCAGGAGAGCTTGTCACAGCTCTTACCTCCCCATCTAAACAATAAATTATAGCTGCACATTCTGGGCCTCTTTGCAAGAAAAGGTAGGAATAAGTAGACACAGCAGTGTCATATGTAACCCAGAGAGGGAACATTTCACAAAGCTTATCCAAGATCACTCCCATCAAGCGTTACCATGAGTTTGCAGAAACCCTTATCACGATGTTACAGAAGAGACAGGCTTGCGTGTTTACAGCTGGGACTTGCTCTATGACATAACATTTTATATGCTAGTGAGTTGTTATATACTACTTAATATTTGGATGGGAGGCGTGTCCATTAGAAAAATAACTAATTTACAATTTTCCTCTCTAACAGCCTACTTGAAATTACCACATCTGTTTTTGCTTCCTCTATGTGGCGCTGTAGCGTAGTGGTTATGAATCGGGCTGCGAACCTTAAGGTCAGTGGTTCGAAACTACCAGCCGCTCCGCGGGAGAAAGATGAGGCTTTCTACTCCCGTAAAGATTTACACCCTCGAAAACCCTGTACAGGGTCGCTATGGGTCGGAACCGACTCGACGGCACTTAACAACAACAACAACAATGTGGCGCTGTGGGCTAATGCGTCAGAATGCAAAGTCGTTTGAACTGCAAAGTTGGTGGTTCAAGTTCACCAGCTGTTCCTTGGAAACCCTATACAGGGTCACTATAGGTTGGAATCGACTATACAGCACTTAACAACAACAACATGGTCAAGAAAGATGTACTGGTATGGTGCTGGGGATAAAGCACTGGACTGCAAGGTCGGTTTGACCAAAAGACTGGAGGTTCAAACTCATCACCCGCTCCTTGGAAGCCCTATACTGGGTAGGTATGAATCAGAACTAGCTTAACAGCCTATAATAACAACAATGTGAAGTCCTGGTGTGGCACTGTGGGTTAATGCGCCAGACTGCAAAGCCGTTTGAACTGCAAGGTTGGCGGTTCAGGATCACCAGCTGCTCCTTGGAAACCCTATACAGGGTCGCTATGGGTCGGAACCAACGCGACGGCATTTAACAACAACAACGATAATGGTCAAGAAAGGAGCCCTGATCATGAAGTGGTTAAAGTGCTCCACTGGAACCTCAAGGTCAGCAGTTCCAATCTACCAGCCTCTTCCCTGAGAAAGTTCTGGCAGTCTGTATACCTAAAGGTTCACAGCCTTGGAAACCTATGGGGCAGCTCTACTCTGTGGTCCTGAGTGGCAATGAGTTGCAAACAGGTGGGATTTAAGGATGAAAACAAAAGAATTTAAAGTGCACATTAGAAACTTTTCAATGGGTTGGAACCTTTAAATCCACTTGCAACTTACTGTAGCACAACTGCATTTTACAAATTGCCAAAGCGACCAAAACAGTAAGAGTGGTTAATCAACTGGACGGGCAAACAACATTGCATTTTCATTAAAACACTGTTGGATACTTTGAAATGGCTACACTCAGTGTTTTCAGTACCTCTTTCCTTTATACTGAATAACTTGACTTACTGAATTATCTCCTAGTAAAGGAGCTCTGGTAGCGTAGTGGTTACGCGAATCAGGCTGTTAACCTTAAGGTCAGCAGTTCGAAACTACCAGCTGTTGCGCGGGAGAAAGAGGAGGCTTTCTGCTCCCGTAAAGATTTACAGTCTCAGAAACCTCAGGGTCGCTATGAGTCGGAACAACAACAACCAAACCTCTTAAGAAAACAACTTTAAAACAACAAACAAAAGACTATGAGGATTCTGTTCATATTGCTTCACTATGTTAACTACCTTGTCAATGAAGCAAAAGACCTGAGAAGCAGCTTCAAACACTAGAACTCTTAACCCAAACTGCTGGGCGCCTGCGGGTCTCCAGATACTCATTTTATCAGTGAACAAACCTCATTCGGTCCACTGACAGAACCACAGAGCACGGGAACAAGTCAGCGGCCATGAAGAAATCCAGGAACAGAAAGGTAAACAAAAGAACAGCTGTAGAGACCAGTTGTTTCAACAGATGGCTACCTTTCCCGGGTGTCCTCCACCCCGTCTCGCTGGACCCTGGTTCAAGCCCGGGTCCCGCTGAGTTCGCCCCGCTCTGAAAGACAAACTCACTCGGCCCTGCCAGTTCAGGACTGAAAATGAACGGAACTCTCACCGTCATACTTGGGATCCGAGCCCTCGGCGAGGAAGTCGATAGCAGGCGGCGCAGATACAGCTGCCGCCCCGTCCTCCTCCGTTTCGCGCTCCTGGGTCGAGCTGCCCTCCAGCATCACTGGGCGCACAGCAACCAGCCGGCTCACCCAGCGCTGCCTCAGCTAGCACTGCGACTGAACCATACCGGATACGGAAGTGGCCGCTCGTCGAACGGAAGACCCGCCTCGGCCGTCGTGCGCCGCTGCCAGGGGCGGGCCCTGCCGGAGCCCAGACCCGGAGGGTAGGCGCTCGGGCCCTAGTGGGCTGGTCCTTGGACTGTGGACCCAGCCGGTTCCAGGCGGTGCCTTGGGTTGGCAGTCTTGGAGAACTTGGGTGTCAGCAGATAAGCACAAACGCTCCCATGGCATGTTCAAGACTTGAGCAAGAGCGCAAAAATCAGGTGCCTCCAGACACTAATCCAGATGTCTCTATTTGCGGATCCAACCGACTGGTGTTGGATTTTGTCATTTGTTCCCCTGCCACCCTCAATCCATCCCCTCCAAGAAGCATCAACAAATCCTGCCTCAATGAGAAAGGAACTTGTTTCAGTCAACAGTTAAATCAAACCCAAAAGGGAGAGGCCTACTACTCTCCAAAGTGAATCCAACCTTAGACTGAACTTTCAACTGAAATATTTTCAAACCGGACACAGCCTTTTCCCTGCTACACTGTATCAACTGTGGGTTTCTTGTGTGTTTTTAACATTTTGTTGCAGTCTGACTGAAAGTTTACAGAGCAAATTAACAATATATGCACACTGTGTCTCACTGTATTGTTTGCAATCCCCTTGCTGTAACAGCGCTCTACCCACTTCCCTTTTTCCATTCATCCTTTCCTACCCCAACCTCCTTTCTGAGATTTGTTTGTGGGTTTTGCTTTTTGTGTGACATATTGTTCTGAGAAGTGTTACTGGTGTCTTTGTTCATTTTATAGGTCTGTCGGTTGTCTGGCTGAAGTGTGTGTGTGTGTGGGGGGGGGTGTTCAGTTTCACGTTTGAAGACTGTCTTAAGGACCACTCATAAGGTCACTATGAGTCATAACCGACTCAGCGGCACCCAACAAGCAGTCAGGGTCATAGTTTTCAATGGTTCCTCCAGTCTCTATCAGACCAGTTAAGTCTGGTCTATTTTTATGACTTCGGATTGCGTTCTCCATTTTTCTCCCACTCTATCTGGGACCTTGTAATGAGATCCTCATCAGAGTGGTGGCTAGTGATAGCTGAGCACCATCTAGTCCTTTTGGTCTCATGCAAGTGGAGGCTGTGATCTATTAGTCCTTTGGATTCATTGTTTTCTTGAGATTTTTATTTTCTTTACTCTTCTTTGCTCTGAATGGGTTAGGACCAGTAGTTGCATCTTCGATGGTCACTTGTAAGCTTTTAAGACCGCAGTCACTACTCACCACATTAAGATGTGGAACACTGTCTTGTTACTCGATCTAGATATTCTCCTGGGACTATGGCCCTAAGAATCACTGGATCAACTTTGATTTGATGTAGTTAGTTCAACTAGTCAGCAGCTTTGCCCTGTGAAGGTGTCTCTGATGACTCAATCAATAAAACCAAACTTTAGGAGTTCACAGATCAGATAATAGGGCTGGTATGAAGGCCTTTCAGATTTAGAACCTCAACCCCAGCACAATGGGTAAAAGTGATATTAACAGTTTTTATATGAAGATATTTCTCATAAAGGGTCATACCAGAAGCACTCAGTCTGACAGAAGCAGCTAAGATTAGTTTTCTAGATAATGTACAAAGGTTAGGGATGGTCCTTTTCATCCCCAGCAGGAGGGATGGGAAAGGAAGATCCATTGATTAGGGAACAATGAGTTTGTTCAAAGTGATAGAAAAACTTGGGAATGAACAGTGGGGACATTGCACATGATAAACATAATCAACATCATTGGATTATATAAGAAAAAATGTTAAATGGCTAATGTTTTGTTATTTTCCTCTGAAATGTATTTTCTCACAGTTTGGGAGGCTAGAAGTTCGAATTCAGGGTGCTAGCTCCAAGGGAAGGGAGGAAGGTCCTAGTCTCTTCTGAGCTTCGATTCCTGGGTGATCTTCCTGGGGCTTGGCAACTCCTTTCCCCCATCTTTGCTTCTCTCACTCCCTTGTTTAATCTCTCTTACATCTCAAAAGAGATTGACTCTGGACACACAAAAAAAGCAAATATACCTCAGTGTCACCACTAATCCTGTCTAAATTACTAATGAACAACCCATTCCCAAATGGAATTAAAACCACAGATAGAGAGGTTAGTATTTCCAACCCATATTTTAGGAGGAAATGATTCAACCTATAACATTCAACCCTTTGGTGCCTAGAAATTTATGTCCTTGCCACATGCAAAACACATTTACTCCATCACATCTTCCCAACCAACCAACACCAAAAAGCCTTTATCTTCTGAACCATCGAAATCAAATATGGTGAGATATCAGGCATATTCTATCCTGGGGTAAAATTCCTCTTCATCTATGAACCTGTGAAATCTAGGCTCCAAGCTACGTTTTCAAACTATAGTCACAGACCAAGTAGGTATTTCCGTTACAAATAGGAGAAATTACAATGGAAGAAGGCACCAAGCAAGTAAAAAGCCGTGCAGAGCAATTTTTATTAGTTCTCAAAAGCTTGAGAATAATCTATTCTCTGAGACTATCTGGGCAAAGGGGCCATGCCTTCTAGAATCTGGGTGTTGGTCATACTTTCTGGAATCTTTATGAAGACCCCTCAGTCCTGGGCTTCAGCTCCACTTTCCAGACGCTGGGGCATGGCAATTCAGCTTTAAGAGGCCCCTTAACTCCTAGTATATCTCCGTGGCCACCCCAAACCCAATGCCCCAACAGGCTCTATTCTTCTGCCCCTTTCCACTCTCTTAACATTGGACAGCAGCCCCATCTCCCTGGCACACTTTAACTGCAGCGCCACACTCCAGAACAGAGTTGGCAAAGATCCAAGTCTTTGAAGTCTATGAGTTTGTGGCCACACACTTGGAGACCCAGGAGTCCATGGCCCCAGCTTTTGAAACACTGAAGGCCCTGCTTCCCATGCTTCGTGCAACAGTTCTGGTGATTTTAGAACTGCTCCAGGGATTATCCTTTTCTTTTCTTGGAGAACAACAAATGTAACCTTTTTGGCCTGTGTCCTACCTGTAGAATTCCAAGATGGAGACCCTGTTTTCTTCTTTTCTCTGCCTCTTCAGTCTACACGATGAGTTTTTCATTGTGAGTTGCTTAAATCCATCCACTAAAGGTTTAATCTCTTTAACAAAAGTTTGTGTCATGTCCTTGGTGAACACTGCATGTCATCTGTCCTGGAATTTGTACAACTGAATTTTCTAAATCTTTTAAGTTTTGCTTTCATTTTTAAATCCATCTCTTTCCTCCTGAATTTTACTATAAACAGTAAGGAGAAAGCATGTAACCTCTTTAAGATCTTGTTCAGAAACCTCATCACCCAGATATCCAACTTCTACCTTTCATTAAACACAGTAAACTTAATTCAGACAAATTCTTTGCCACTGGATAAAAAGCATTGCCCTTCTGCCACTGTCCAATGATACCTTCTCCATTTTCTTGTAAAGTCTCACCAGAAGCATATTTAACACCCACACTTTTCTAGCAACATTCTATCACTGGTGCCATGGTGCCATATGTATTCTCTAAGATACAGACTTGCCTATAGTTCTCCACACTTCTTGCCGAGCCATCATCAGAATCATATGTGATGTCCATAATTCTATGCTAGACTCTCTAGGCTTTTACTATCAAGCACCTTTAAACTTTTCTAGCATCTCTCCATTACTCAATGCCAAAACCATTTCTGCATTTTAGCTATTTGTTAGAGCAGCAACCACAGTTGTCAGTACCAAATTGTCTTAGCTTAACTATTGCTGCTATAACAAAAGCACAAGTGACTACTTTAACATACAGAAATGTATTTTCTTACAGATTAGAAGGTCAGACATCTGAATAAAGAATCTGGCATAGAGATGGAGGCAGAGATGAGGACATGGAGAGAGGCAGCAGCTGAAGACTCTGGAATCATGGAAAGAGAGGGACTGGGTGCTGGCAGCCAGGAGGCAGGCTTGCAGAATGTGCCCTTTGGTTGTTTAAATTATTATGTATTCCTGAGTGTTTTTGTGAACATTCCCCCCACCCCACCCCACTGCCAAAAATAAAAAAACACCAGAGGAAATGGAAGTAAATACTGTTGAATGATGATGCATGGAGGAGATTGTAATCATTGCAATGAAACGATGGGGAAAGTCAATGTTCTCCCATGTAAACTATAACTCAGTTCACAATAAAAACTTTTTTTCAAAAAAGGATCTGGCCTTCTCTGTTAGCATTGTAGAGGTAGGTCTCTGTGTGTATGTGTGTGTGTGTGTGTGTGTACCCAGCCTCTCTTCTCTCTCTCCCATTACCAAGTCCTCTAATGTGAGGCCTTCTCATCAATATCCAATTGAGCATGCTCAGTTAAGGGGAGGTCAGTAATATCAGGAGCCCCCACCAACGACTTTTATGAATCAGCATGGTTACATGAAAACTTAAGTATGGTTATCCAACAGAAGGTAAATGCTCTAAAGATTATATTGTTGTTGTTACTTGCCGTCGAGTTGATTCTGACTCATAGCGACCCAGTATAAGGTTTCCATGGAGCAGCTGGTGAACTGGAACCACCAACCTTGCAGTTCAAACAACTTCGCAGTCTGACGCATTAGCCCACAGCGCCACACCAGGACTCCAAAGATTATGTTGTTGTTGTTGTGTGCTGTTGAGTCAGTTCTGACCCATAGCGACCCTGTATAGGATTTCCACGGAGCAGCTGATGAGCTTAAACCACAACCATGCAGTTCAAACAACTTTGCAGTCTGACGCAGTATGTGTTGTTGTTAAGTGCCAATGAGTTGATTCCGACCCACAGTGACCCTGTATAGGATTTCCAAGGAGCAGCTGGTGAGCTTGAACTGCCGACCTTGCAGTTCAAACAGTTTCACAGTCTGGCACAGTAACCCACAGCGCCACACCAAGATTCGACGCATTATATAAGCACACCTAATTGTACTGGTGT